GACAAAACTGACATGTCAAAAAAAAGACAACAAAAAAGACAAAAAAATAAAATACAAATTAAATATTTTGATTTTTTTGAACCTTTGCGTGCCCAATTTTTTTTTCAAACATTGGCGCAACGGCCTATGAGTGTAAAAACGTAACGCGCAGGAACGGGCATACCAGGGTAATGGCCTATCAGCGTAAACACAAGGATCGGCGTATCGGCATATTCGCAGCGATGGGCATAGCAGCGTATCGGGGGAAACACGGCATAACGGCGTATCGGAACAAACACAGCGCTCGGTCTCACGGCGTATCGGCGTATTTACTGCTACGGATCCACTCCCCAACGCAGTGGTTTTCTTGGGCCGTGCTTTCGTGCAGGGAACCATTATGCAGATGGAAAACCACCTCAACAGCAACACAGTCACCTGCAACAATTGTTTGCAAAATGCTGGTGCGACATTTTTTTGACACCCTTTTCAACAACAACTTTCACAATTGCAACCCCACGTGGGCATGCTCAAATTTTTCATGACTTCCCTTGGGTTGCCTTGGTTTTTTGCGTGTGTGCCTTGGCTGTGTCGAGCCGAGGTGTGGCCAACACTTCATCCCGGAAAACTTACACATGAGTGTCTGCATTGTGTTTGATGTCCAAGCTTTGCCTCAGGAGGTTTCAGACATTTTCAGACACAATGATTTTGGCAGTCCCTGTCTTTTCTTCGTTTTTGCGCGCCGAACTTTGGGAGCTTGCTTCCCCCTCGTGCATGTTGCCGGGAAAAAGTTGCCGTGCAAACGTTTTCATCATCGTCGGCAAAGCAATATATACCATGGTGTCGTGAATCAAAACACGGCTAAGTGCCAACATCACTGACAGGGATTGCGTGGTTAGCACTGTGAGGGATTGCGTGGTATTGCTTGGTATTGCGCGGTATTGAGTGATATTGCGTGATATTGCGTGTGGCCATCCTCACTCACAATTTTTTAGCAAGTTCGTTCTCGCAAAGCCATCGTTGCGAATCTGAAAATTGTTTGGCTGGCCACGTATTTCCATGCCGCTAATCAAGGGTTCCACAGGATGCTTTGCACGACTTGCCAGGGAACATGTTCTCTTTGTAAATATGCGCCCAGGAGGCATGATTTCCGCCAAGTCTTTAATTTGTTTGTTGGAGTTCTACCGAACCCCAATTGCATCAAATTCAGAATCCAGAATATCCATGGAATGAAAAATCTGGAAAATATATCGCCACAGTGCACTGGGCAAAAATCCATATAAAAACGCACAGCTCCATCCCGTGCAGAAATGTGCATCAAGGTCCTCTCGCGTATTTGTTGCAATAACTGATTATCGGTGTTGCAAGCCATTCGGCCCGGCCTCGCCTGGGAGAAACATTGTCCACATCAAGGAGAAGAGCGTTGGAAAGACCGGGTTTGCGGTACTTGTGTTGGAACGCGTCCTGTTGAAGCATTGGTTGGATTCCAAACTTGCCCCGCGCTATTCACATGCATGCTACCGCGAAGACGTAGCGTGTCCAATTTGTCCTGGGCTGCCTCCGCTCCAGTCTGGCTCAAGAACCTGGTCTCGCTACCAGCCCCGCAGCGCCTTCCGCCACAACGCGGCAGCCGTGTGGGCATCGTGGCAGGACACAGCGCCCCATTCATAGCAAAACGCCCAGTCTTTCTGTTTTCATGTCTTGTTGCCCGCGCTCCAGGCCCTCCAGTGTCCCATGCACGTCTGGGTTTTCTTCCTCAACTTGCGCCCGCAGAGATGCGGCCCAAACACTTCACTCAAGTGGGAGTCGTCCTAAAACCTATGCAAAGCATGTAGCATTCAACCTATGCAAGGCATGTAGTATTCGAATGACATCTGCAGATATGGATGTGTATGTTTTGCTGCAGTGGCCAAATGCCGCGGAAAGGCTGCGTAAGGTTCGCAAAAGGTTTGAATACCACTGTTTATAAACCTGTAAACAAATGAAACCCTGATCGTAATCCCATGTCCCGATTTTGGTGGGGCGCGAAAGGGCGCGAAAAATTCGCGAAAACGCGGCGTGAAGGCAGTTTTCGGGTACCATAATTTTGGACAACCTCCAAGTAACCTACACGTTTTTAAAAAAAACTATTTATTTTTATTTATATTTTTTGATTTGGTATCGGAGGGGGTCAGGAAGCCTCCAGTCTACTCGGTTCAAGGAGCACAATGCGCTAAACAATTGAATAACATTTTTTTTTTCTTGCGTTTGTGTCGCACATGGTTTTGAGAATATTTTTCTACAATTTTGTACGTTTGTATTTGTTGTGGAAAATATTTTAACTTTTGCCGGTCTTGTGCCTCGCTCCGTTTGTGTAACGGTCGGTATATGGGTTCAACCCACCTGCCTGGCTTGACTTCTCCATACTTCTCCCTTCCAACCCGGCCCGTGCCAGAGACAGAGCCAGCACCAGAAGGTCCCACAGCCAGGGGATGGCAACAACCAGCCAGCACCGCCTTGCTTAAGTCAACCCGGGCCGAGCTGCAACGCACTTTGCCACCAGCCAGCCAAGCGCTTCTCGATTCCTAAAGCGGGCCATATGCTGGCCGTGTCTTCACCACCATCCCCTATGGGCCCGAATCCACTTATTCGTCCGAACATTTTCGTTTGCTCATTCTTCGCCGGCTCCGTTTGCCATTGCCACTCTCTGCACGTACTTGTCGTTGCCGTCGCACTCTCGACCCCTTGGGCGACCATCGATCAGCATGTGCTCAGTCCGAGCGGCAGCTCGAATATGCTCTGTTTTTTCCACGTTTTGTACAATCTAGCGTTCTCTTTGCAAGTGCGGGCGTGTCGGAGGTTTCTCCAGCTTTTTTTAGTTTGGAATAGTTTTGCTGCATCCTTTAATTCGGAACTGGCAAAAAAAAGAAAAATGTACACAACCAAGCACCCAAGAAAAATGAACAGTCTTCCGCGTTGCAGCCCCAGAGCCCATTCAGAGACCTGCGTTTTACGGGTGATCACCACAAACGTGTGGAGAGGCACTGTATACAAAACATGCTTGTCTGAGACCCTGGTCCTGGTTTCATCATTGAATATGATAAACTGCCACAATGGGAAAAACAACACAGGACTAACTGGACAAACATGATTTCGGAAAAAAAATGCCCAAAAATGAAAAAACATGCAAAATATGCAAACTGCGCTTTTGTGCTGGCATTTTTCTGGCATTTGTGATTTGCATTTTTTTTTTTTTGCAATGTGTTTTTGCACTTGCATTTTTTCCTTTTTGATTTGCACATTTTTTTTGCATTACGTGGCGGGTTTTTTCAAGATTGCAGGTCCCTAGAACGAGCTCACAAGGCGCCAGCACAAATGTCGAAACAAACCTTAAAACCACGAGGGGCGGACCACCTGCCGCCTAAGACGGGGAGGCCCTTCGCATGCGCAGGATCACGGAAAAATCAAAAAATTAAACAGGCCCCAAACCAACCCCCAGTAGATGTGAAACCAAACCTACATAGACCTTACGCCAACCTTGAACAGATCCTGGAACCGGTGTAGTCAACCCACAGCCAACGCCAAAGAAATTTTAAGCCAACCTTGAAGAAGTCCGAAACCACCAGATAGCTTTTCAACCGAACCACACAAATCCGTTAAACCAACCCTAAATAGACGCTAAACCAACCCAAAGAAAATTAAACCAACCCCGGATATATATATATATATATATTATATAACTTACACCAACCCTAAATAGGCCGCAAACGAGGCCTAAGTAGCTCCTAAACCAACCTCAACAAATCTTAAGTCAACCGTAAATAAATCCTAAACCAAGTGCAGGTAGGACCTGAACAAATTTCAGACAAACACTAAGACCAATTTTTAAAATCAAACCAGCCAACGCGACATAGATGTGGTTAAAACACATTTACATAAACGGTACATAAAATTTAAACCAATTTCAAATGGAACCCAAATTAACCCGCTTAACCAAACTTAAGCATAGACTAGATTTCAAACCAAGCCTAAACAAATCCTAAAACAAATTCTAATCGTGCCCTTGACTTGCGAAACTTAAGCACATCATAACAACAACAATCAATAGATCTAAGCAAACCCGACCTTTAAAACAAAGAAGAAAAGAAACCCTAATAGAAAACCGAAACAAACCCTAAAACAAACCCTAAAAGAAGGCTAGTTGCAAATTACTATCTTCCAGAACAATGGGAGTGCCAAAATGTTGCAAACGCCATGGAACATGAGAATTCGAATTTAAAAATGCTGTCCGTAGCCCTAAAATGTTGCAAATAGCAAGGAAAATGGACAGAACAGGAAATAAAAAAAAACCGGACAACAATCCAGATAAAATTGGATCCCAAATTGGGAATTGATAGGAAATTGAAGCACTTTGCAATGTCAAGGTTTCATACATGTCACAAGTTCACCATGGGTCACCAATAGGTGACGGGAACCACATGGTTAAAACATCAAGGAATGTCCTTTCCCCCTTAAGTTCCTGATAATGTTCATGTTGAGCATCATATCTGCGTGAAAGTCTATGGGAATGGAACGGGAAAATATGTTGTAGTTTTGAATTCTTTAAAAATTACAATTGGCAAATTCACTATTGGTTATTTGTAGAATAACAACAACGGGGGAACTAGCAGTCACCACAAAATCGGATCACCTGTTTTCACCTACAGCCAACTCGTGAGCGTGTAGCGGCGTAAGATCAAATGAGAAATGAAGCAAACCCAAACTAAAAACTCTGTGTTGGGCCTGCTGGTCAAAAGGCCAGCCTGATGGTCCCAATGTTCTACCACCAGCTGTGTGCGTCCACTACGATCTTGGTCAGGATGTCGGCCATTTGCGATCCTGTAGGGACCCAACCAATGTTTTCCCTTGAGGTAGGATAGGGCCCCAGTGGTCTGCTTGACCATTCGGCGTAGGGCGGCCAAATCGACCACCAGCCGCTTCTCACTTGGATGGAGTCTTTGGCTCACCCACCCGGTACACAATGTCAAGGACGGATTTGCAATCGGTCACAAGTCCATGAGGTGGTCCCTGTAAAGCCCCCCAGCGATGAAGGATCTCGAACAAAGGGCGTCCTCCCAGTCTTCCAAACTGGACATGACTTCTGCTGCCAAGGTGCTGCGACACACCCTTGGGCACGCATGAGGTTTCCAGCCCACCACCATGGCTGATGCCTCCTGGCCAGTCAAAACACGACGGCTCAGGAGTAGGATGTGTCCCAGTTGTCCAGATGCCAAGTAATCATCGTAGTCGTCGACCTCAGGGTCTAGTGATGCGTTTGCCCAGGCGGCGTCGTGATACACAAGGAGGTGCAAGTCCTCCACGAGCTCGGTGAACTTGAGCGGTTCGCCCTTCCCGGCTTGCGCCAGTTTCACCAGCTTGTTTGTGTTTTTAACATCATGGTACGTTGGTTCCTCTTGACGGCGTTGTGCCAAAGAAACTCCAGCCTGTAAATCAAGCTTCGTTTGGGAAACCAGCGAGGAGAGAGCCCGATGGTGCTCATGTTGTCCTGCTTGGTGACCTGGTTTGCCAGGTTCTCCGCCACAGCGTCCTTGGGGATGTCGACCGTCTCCAAGCGGGCATTGATGTAGGAAGTTTGGTGGAGCTCGATGGTGTCATTCTCCTGCTTGATGGTGGCACCAGCGTACTCAAAGAGGTCGGCCTCCCACTCGGCAACGGTGAAGATGCGAGAAAGTCCTTGCTGTAGTTGACCCATCTCCGAAAGAGGAGCTGCCACCAAGAGGTCGTCGACGTGGGTGACGTGGGCACCATGTAGTTTTCCCCATCTCATCACGTAAAAAAAATAAGGGTCCAACTCATGGTGTGAGAAGGTCGAAAAGTCCACCCCCGCGTTAATCTTCAAGGCCAACAGCTCCGTGACCAGCTTATCCCACCATAGGCGTGGTGAATTTGATAGGCCGAAAACACCCCCAACGATCTCCACGAGTGAACAAGGCTTTACTCCAGGGAACCCACGGCGTTTTGGTTCAAAATAGAGGCCACCGTTGGATTCAATGCCATTGGGAAAGGCTGCCCCCACGTCGCCCGCAGCAAGCTTCCTGCTAAGAACAACAGCACGTGGAGCGACATACGCGAGGCCGTTGGTGCTTCGGTGTTGATCTCTCCTCTCTTCAGGTCGGGCTCCATATGACCACCCGCACGCAGTCTCGCCTTGGTTTGGCTGGGATGGTGCTGTCTTCGCGCCGTTTGGCCACATTTTTGCATCGGTAGGCAAAACGTGCCCTCAGGATACGTGCGCGAGGAACTGCTTGGCGCAGCCACTCAGCTTCTTGGGGTCCATGGATTCGAACAGCTCCATAGTGAAAATGTTCTGCCCACTGCTTTGCCTCAGCAGCATGATATGGATGTCGTTCCTCCTCCGGTATATCTTCCCACTTCACTTCTTTGTCACTCTGTTTGACGATGGAACGTGGGACCTGCTTCTCCACCATGAGTGCCTGAGCAGCAGGCCACCATGAGTGCCTGAGCAGCAGGCCTTGAGCTTGTTGCAGCTTCAACTTCTGTGTCCAGAAGTTCTTCCAAGTCAGAACCTGGTACCGGTGGTAGTGGCCTTGACCGATTTGGCTTGTCATCAGCGCCAGGTGGTACAGATCTTTTGTGCATGCGAACAACTCCCTGTGTTCGCACTCGTTCGGGGACGGCTTCATACGTCACCTGTCGCTTCGGGTCAATGGGGCCAGTGGCATCGGTGAAGGCATCGTCATCGCTGTTGTCCAAACGATGCACCAGACGCATAAGATCGTCCTTTACCCGTTTCATTTGGAATGAAAAATGATTGGAATGCCAAACCCAGCTCTTCAGATTCAGCAGGCCGAAGATGTTCTGCAGCACAAAGGACACACCATTCACTTGGAGATAGCCAATAGGATGAACCTTCCCTTCCAACCACCACACCTGGCGCAATCCATTCGCCGGCATTTTGGCGTTTTCTCGCCTTGCCCCCGGCGGTCTTGTGGACCCTGTAGATGTAGACATAATCGCCCTGCTCATAGACCTCGGCATTGGAGCGTGGTTGACCAAGAAGAGCACGGCGTAGTGGGGTGCCAGCCTGCGTCTGCAGGAAGGCAGCAAGTTGGATAGTTTGGCGTCGTCGCCAAATTTCGTCGGGAGAACGAAGTTCTTCCTTGTAGTAGAGGTCCTCGTCAAACATGGCATCGCCTAGGCGAGGTTCCGCACCAAATAGCCATTGGGCCGGTGAGTAGCCATGCTTCTGGCGGAGGTTGTTCTTGGCCGCCGAGACCATGGCCAAAGGTTGTTCTGGCGGAGGTTGTTCCTTCAGTGGCTCCCTGCTGCCAGTGAGCCTGGCCAGCATCGAACCTGACCGTAGAACCAACCATCTCGACGCCGTCCGCGAAGTCCTTGATGAAACCACGTTCTTGATCGCATGTCACCTTCATGGGAGGCCCTGCCAAGACCATCCAGCAATCAGTGAAGTCGGCCAACAGGTCAGTCGACTTCCGGCCATGGATCTGCTTGACCATGTGGTAACCAGAGGCCATGTCAAGCACCGACAGGACCTCCACTTGTTGTTGTCGGCATCACAGAGGTTGATCGTGTCCAAACAAACCTCCTGGTTGAACTCCAGGGGTCGCACCAATTTCGCAGGTCTCCTACTACCAGGATTGCCCAAACGTGCGCAAGTGCTGCAGCGCAGGCTGTGTGCAGCTTTGATTGCAGCTTTGCTGGCACCAGAAAATTAGTAAATCATGGTTGGCAAGGTGGCTTAAGTTCTGGTGAACACGTCGCAGGGCCTTTGCCAAATGAGCAGGCACATGTGCAACATGTGCAGGGAAATCAATACTGGTCAACTTGGGGTCTTGTACATCTTCATCAGCACCAGCGGCTTCCTCAGCGGCTAGTGCTTCCCAGGTTTGGTTAGCAGCATTATGGGTGCCCGGCGGGGCCCATATGCTACTGGACATGTTCTGGTAGCCTTCAATGACTGCCCGACAGCAGGTCTTGGTGTAAGCCCCTGCGGGCTCGGGATTGCGTCCCTCAGTAGGGGTGTGCGTGGCCCCCAGCACAAGCGCGCCTCAAACTCTGCAAAAATTTTTGGATCAGTTGATGCAATCCTCGTCATCACCTCGTTGCCATTGGCGATCTGGTTCCAAGCACATTCCACTGCAAAGTGGATGAGTCGGCGTTGTTCTGCACGAGCTCGGCGTAGGGCTTGACGTCGTCGAGCATAGTTCAAACGTTGCCATTGGGACCACTTGGTGCATGGCAAAGCGACCCAAAGCAACTTCGGCTTCTTGTAGTTGATGCCGTTGAACACGGTCTCCTGCTGCAAAGGGTCAAAAAGGTTGTGGCCCAAGAGGATGTCCCTCGGCTCGAAGACGTTGTAGCCCTTGGCCGCAAACTCCTCAGTGAGATGTGCCGAACCCGCGAAGAGTTCGGCACAGATCCTGGGCAGGCTCGACCACAGCTTCGTGTAGTTCGGCCATAACCGGTGATGCCAAGGCCACCAGGGTCGTAGTGAGGCACAAGAAAGTCTTGTGCACCCAACTCTTAACCCGTTTCTTGGCCACCCTCTTCATCCGCTTGGATGGAAGGTTACGTACCCCCTCAAAATCCTCAGGCTAGTGTAACTTGATCCTGGGATTCTTGTTCTACTTGTCCAAGTCATATTCATCAATGTCCAAGGGGTCAGTGGCGGCCGCACCTGCAAAGATCTCGTCGTTGTCCAGTTCATAGGGCTCGGCAGAGGCGTGGTTGATCCCGAGCGAGCTGACATCCTCAGTGATGTAGCAGCTCCTAGCCCCCATTGATCGAGGGAGTTTGTGAAGCTCCTCCATCTTCTTCCAATATTCCCGTTTCTTTTCCTTCGTGCGGGAGATCATGCTTGCTCCCCTTTCTTCTTGTACTCCACCTTCTTCACTGTACCTGCAGACGACTCTCCATGTCCTTGATCTGGTCCTCCACTGACTGGTCCGCCTCCAAGATCAGATCGAAACCGCTGCTCGAATCTCCCTCCATGCGGCGTCTTCTCGATGTTCTCGGTCTTCTCGGCTTGCGCCCACCTAGTTGCGCCAGGTCCGGTGAGTGCTGTGGTTGCTGCCCGCTTCCTTGGTGGCCCAGTTCTATAGGACTGGTTGATCTCCTTGTGCTAGTACCCCTTGTAGGAGCCGAAACTGATCATCTCCTCTCGAGACGGTGGCAAGTTGTCCCGGAGCAGCTTCATCAGTAGCCTTCCTCGGCGCACTTCACCTTCAGGTTGTCCAGACACATGTGGGTCAGGCCCACGGGCTTGTGGGACATACCGCCACGAGCTTCTCGAGCTTCCAGCCGTAGTTCCGGCATTGTCCATGCGTGCCGGTCTGGAATGTCCAGATGCTCCAAAGCTTCCACCAGCTCCTCGCGTCTCATCTTCCATGGCGACGGAGTTGCTGGGTCTCGAATTGGGGTGTCACAGGTTTGTGCCGTCACACGTCGGCGACGAAAACGGCTGCGGCCAATCCAAGGAAAGTCAGCTCGTGGGGCTGTATCATGGTGCCATTCATGTTCAAGTCGATATGTCAGCCCGTTGCCATAGCATGGAATGCATGTTGTTTCTCTGTTCTCGTCCAAAAGTTGCAAAAGTCTAGACTTGAGAGTGTCATATAGCTGATGTGTTCCAACGTCCAGGGTCAAAACAAGTCCGGCGAGGTGTGACATGCACTCTGGTCATGTAAGTCTCATCCCCTATCCAAAATTCACGCGTATGCACCTGTTGGTTCCACCAATGTAAAAAGGTTTCCGGGCCAAAGCATCATTTGTCAGCATTTCCAAGACATGTCCCTAAATTTTCGGGTAAAAGAGTTGACAATTGACCCCAGGAGCCGCACTCACCATGTATGCTCGAGACGTCGCAGCATGTCGTGCTAAAATGTGGACTTCCGTCACACTCCAATCCACTCCCTCGGGCCATGTTGGCACTTGGGGCGGTTCACCAAAATCCAAAGCATTGACCTTTGGGTGGCCAGATGCCGTGAAACTCAAAATCACATCCGTCAGCTTGAGCTTGGAGAAGTCCGGAACGTTCGTGTCCATCTTGTAGTTCATCCCCAATTGAGGCCAAGACCGGCCTGCTCAGCAAAAGGCGCACCTGAGCTGAGACGATGGAAATTTTGATCATGAACCATCGCCCCGCAATTCCCACAATCGCCTTCGTCGAAGGGTAGAGGCGCAGTCCACCAAACTTGAAGTGCTCCTCCTGCTCGATCATGATGTAGGGGGAGGTCGAACTTCTTCACAACCTCCAAGTACTTCTTACACCATGCCACGCCAGCCAACGTCCGGCTGCAAGCACAGTCCACCACGGTGTCCAGGTCCAAGCCGTCCGTGTAGAAAACAAGATGGGTGACATGTGGGGCACCATCGCCCGTCTTGCCCTTGTCCTTTGTGCATGCAACATCCTTATGCCAGTGTCCCTTCTTGCCGCATGCCGAGCAGAAGGAACGGGATTTAGCCTTGGCAAGGGTTTCCTCCCTAGCCTTGGCTGGGTTCGTCCCCCTTGCCTTGAGCACATCACTGTACTTGACTTTCGCATTCTGGTAGGCCACAAAGGCCTCACTGACTCAGGCCTCACTGACTCCTCCTCGCCGTAGGGCTCGATGTCGACCAACTCGTCGAGGTACTCCGGAATATATCCGGAATGTCGTCGAGCTCCGTGATGTAGGAGGCCTGCTGACTCTTCTTCTCATTTCGACCATCAGGTTTCCTTGAGTTCTCCCAGATCGGCCTATTCATCCGGTCTTGGGCCACGGCGGCCTCTTGCAACTTGGCCACGTCATGCTGGTTGTTCACAGAGGAGAGAAGGTTCAGCTCGGTGGAGTTGTCCAACCGCAGCTGGTCGACGTACCACCAAGAGCTGCAAAGTCCAGGAAGAACGCAACCGACCTCCTTCAGCCTGGCCAGGTGGCGGTCGAACTCGCTGTTGTAATCCCTGATGTCCTGGTTTGGGCCCTTCTTAAACAAGTTGAAACAGTCACTCATGTACTTGCCGGCCTTCACCACCTCCTTGTCCAAGTAGCGCTGGGTGATCCATGCCATGTAGCGGTCCACGCCGTAGGGGTCGTCCAGGGCGGAGAGGTCCAAGTCTTCAGCGTCGCGCCATGCTTTGCCAGTGAGGTTGTTGTAGAGCACCAGAGCCTGCTTGTTGGCCTTCAAGCGTGTCACACGCTGCCGCCAGGCTTCGATCTTTTCCTCAAGTAGCCTATCTTCCTCACCTGAGAACTCGGGACTATCTTGTCACTCCCTCCACTGCTCATCTATTGACTCATCCCTCTGACTACCGTGTTGGCTGACGGCCCAGGGGTCCCTCCATGGTTGGCTCCATGGATCTGACTTGGTGGTACTTGACCTCCTAGTGGGGTTGGCCCCGTACTCATTGGCTGAATGCCCCTCATCAGGTCCCGTCCTTGGTGCCAACTCCATGTGCCGGCGTTCCAACGCTTCCAGTCCTCTTCAGTCCAGCGCGGAGCACCAGAGTGCGGAGCCCCATCCCCAGCAGCAGCGTCCTCGCGGCCACCACTGGACTCAGCACCAGCGTCCTCCACATCGGATGTAGGTCCTTCAGGTGGGGTAGGCATCGAACACCGTCGGCCCACACCACAACGCCGCAACAGCTGCTATGGCTCTCTTTTTCCTAGATTATCAGTCTCCAGGAAAGGCTCCGCTACCAATGTAGAACAACAACGGGGGAACTAGCAGTCACCGCAAGATCGGATCACCTGTTTTCACCTACAGCCAACTCGTGAGCGTGTAGCGGCGTAAGATCAAATGAGAAATGAAGCAAGCCCAAATGTCTAAACTGTCTAAACTGTACAATTCACAGCTACCAATTAGGTGGCGGGAACCTCGCATTTGGAACATAAAGGAACGTTTGCCTTGCTTCTGGGTTTTTGAGATTGTTCATGCTGTGCGTTTTTCAGCGTGCGAAGGGTGTGGGAATCGAAAAGTAAATTGAAATTGAAATATGTTGTAGTTCCATGGTTTTGAACATTTGACAAGTTCACCATGGGCCGCCAGTAGGTCGCAGGAACCGCACAGTAAGAACATCAAAGAATGTTTGCCTTCCCCTTGCGCAAAAAACCGAGATGGTAGTGGTCAGCATGTACTGGGCTCATCAAGTCACTAGCCCCACAAGTTCTTAGACACCACATTCCAGTGGCACCGACCGCACGGCTAGGTGCAAAAAGGGTCGTGGTCATGAGCTCATGTCATGCCATCTCTACCTTAATTGCTTTACCTAGGATCTACACTCTAGCCTACAACCCCCCAAGTAGCGGAGAGTATATTATGACTATATTGAATTACATCATGGGCAAATCACTTTAGCGCTTCTGCTTGGTGCGGGGTTTGGCTGCATACTCGGGACCGCCGAAATGCTGTCTCTCATTTACTGCCCTCACTGCAAGACTCATTCTGATATTTTTGGCTTTGAAGTGCGAGTGGAAGCAAGCAAAACCAAAGCTGATTTGGGAGGGAGCGCCTTTCCGTTTTTGTTCATGGTATGGACGCATCCTTGCTTTGCTCGCTAGACTATGTCCCGTGATTGTTCTGAGAAGGGTGGAACAACGTTTCATTCCCAACCGCATGGAAGAAAAGGCGGCTACGCCAGTAAGAGGGGGTCTGGGGACTCTTGAGTCGTTTTCGTTCTTTACCCTGTAATTTGGAGTGTTGAGTGTTTCTCTGGAGCAGCCCCAGCCTGAAGTTCCAGCTCGTCACCAGCCATTCCAGTAGAAATGTTTGAGGTTGAGGGGTGGTGATTACCATGGCATATCTGAGGAGACAAGTGAAGTAAAGTCTTGTGGCCACAGATTCATGAAACGGAGCAGTTTCGGAGCACATCTAAGAAAGGGTTTGTACTTAAGGGCTTGCGAAAGGAAATGATATAAAATTAATTTCAGCGTGCGCGAACAGTATTGAAATTGTTTGCTTCGCCAATCTTCTACGTACTACAAAAATGTGCATGTTGGGTTCCTGCAAATCTAGTCCGCGTGCGCGGTACATAAATTGACGGCACGGGGTCGCATGTGCCCCTACCTCATGTGGGGTCGTATTTGCCCCTAGGGGGTAGGGGCGAATGTGACCCTAGGGTAGGGGCGAATGTGACCCCTGCTTTTGTGTGGCAGGCGCAATAGTTTCAGAGCCTCGAAGTGATCTTTTCCACCTCAGAGAGTCATTTTCACGTGTTATGTTGGAAAATCGCTTTCAAGCAACTCCAAGATGCTGGAATTTCGTTCTAACATCCATTTCAATCAACTTGCTACGCGCTCTGGAAGTCAGTTCCTAGACGCTCTGGATGCTACGTTTGTAACATCCACTTGAATCAACTTCGAAGACGCTCTGGATGTTACGTTGCAACATAACATAACATCCATTTCAAGGAACTCCAAGACGCTGTGCATGCGACGTTCCAACTTCCATTTCAATCAACTTCCCGGCGGAACTTCCCGGACGCTCTGGATGCTATGTTCCAACATCCATTTCAATCAACTTCGAAGACGCTCTGGATGCTACGTTGCAACATCCATTTCAGGCAACTCCAAGACGCTCTGGATGCTACGTTGTAGCATCCACTTGAATCAACTTCCCAGACGCTCTGGATGTTACGTTGCAACATACATAACATCCATTTCAAGGAACTCCAAGGCGCTGTGCATGCGACCTTCCAACAGCCATTTCAATCAACTTCCCAGACGCTCTGGATGCTATGTTGTAGCATCCATTTCAATCAACCGCAAGACGCTGTGGATGCTACGTTGTAACAGCCATTTCAATCAACTTCCTGGACGCTCTGGATGCTACGTTCCAACATCCATTTCAGTCAACTTGCCAGACGCTCTGGATGCTACGTTGTAACGTCCATTTCAAGCAACTCCAAGATGCTGTGGATGCTACGTTGTAACATCCATTTTAACCTAACATCCCGTGTCCCCAGGTCTTACCCCAAAAGGTTGAGTGTCATATTCAATAGTGAGGGAAGTGACTTAATCCCCCTGAAAGTCCCGTGTCCCCAGGTTTTACCCTAAAAGGTTGAGTGACATATTTAATATTTAATAGTGAGGGAAATGACTTAAGCTACGTCACCAAGTCCCCCCTAAATGTTCCCCAGTCCCCCCTGAAAGTCCCTTGTCCTCAGGTCTTACCCTAGAAGGTTGAATGACACAGTCAATGGGAAGGATAGTGGGGTAGGGGCGAGTGTGACCCCTTTTGGGGTAGGGGCGAATGTGACCCCGTCCCTAAATAGACCATGTAGAGACCAGCGCGGCAAAGCTTTCATTTTTTTTTGTACGCATCATCTTGCGTCATCCTGATCCTGATCGTCCTCTTGCATCCTCATCCTCATCCTCATCATCATCCCAATCATGCTGCCCATGTCATCACCATCACCAACACCACCATCATCACAAGTATTTATCCTTTTCAGAATCATCGCCGCGATCTCTGTCACCATCATCATCGCTATCATCAGCAGCATCAACAATGTCACCATACCGTCGTCGTCGTCATCATCATCATCCTCCTCCTCCTCTTCATCCTCATCCTCATCCTCATCCTCACCTTCCTCCTCCTCCTCGTCCTCCTCGTCACCAATGCCTTTTCAATCACCTTCACCATCATCGTCATGATCATTTGCATCAGCATCCATGCCGCACAAAAACCCAGCGTCATTTAATTTATAGCTTCAATTATCATCATTTATCGCTACTAACTTGTGTCTTTTGTTTGAGTATCATCCATATGTACTACACGCCATTAATGTTGCACCTGCATTCCAGAAAAATGTGATGCGTCCATCTTGACATGAACCAACAGATCGTTCTCAGCACTCTGCATTTCATCGCCTGTTCTCACAACATATCACAAATATACACTTCGTCCCCCCGCTTGGCTCAAGTGCAAAATTTCAATAGATTTGGTTTTGCTTCTTCCACGGGTGTTTCTGGAAGAATGCCTGTTCGCTGCAGTCCTCATGCAACGTAGCTCGCAAAGACAGCAGCCGACGCACATGCACATATTTGCAACCATCCCCTTATCATAGCAAAACACACGAAACAAATTCGCAGAGGAACCGGATCAGGTCGCAACTTGTCTGCTCGCCGCAATGGCGGGCTAGCGCTAATTCTCACCAGGAGAAGTTGTCACCTAGCTTGAGGATGCAGGAAAATACGCGTCAGGCGCTGTTGTTGCATTCGGTCGCAACAAAGAAAATACGGGAACTATGTCTGGACAGGTATAGGCAGGCATGGTGCTAGGTGAAATATGGTGATGAAAAGTGGTCAGCGGTTGCAGGGCCTGACAATCATTCACCAAGTGGGTGCGTCCAGAGCAGGGAAAACAGTGGGGATATTGGGGTCATGTGGCATGCATTGGCCCATTCTTGGTGGATTTCCGGTTTCTCCATTGGGTAAACCAATGTCTAGGCCTCAGGCGTTCTTTGTGCTTTATTTGCTTCCTCCGCAGGCTGTGGTGGAGCAAATCCTTGAGGAGCCAATTTTGTCTGTGACTTCTGTTCCAGTTTTCTTCCCGGCGGATTACGAAAACCTAGCTGTATTTTGCGGTATGGACAAACACAGGTTCTTCCCCAGCTAGCTGGAAGCTATAGGGGTTCTTACTTCTCAAAGGTCAGGTCTTCGTTGGCGAACCTTGTGGGGAAGTCTGGCAAAGGTGCTGTGCAGGGTGCTGTGCTGTGCAGGGTGCTGTGCAGGGAGGTGGTGTGGCTGGAGCGTGGCTGCTGCTCACAGTTCGGCGGCGTGTCTGGCAAAGGTGCTGTGCAGGGTGCTCTGCAGGTTGCTGTGCAGGGGGCTGTGAGGCTGCTGCTCACAGTGCAGTGGCGAAGTCTAGCAAAAAGGTGGTGTGAGTGGGGTGGCGCTGTGCAGGTTGTGTGGGTGGTGTAAAGCAGGGTGCTGTGCAGGCTGCTGTCCAGAGTGCGGTGGCGAGGTCTGGCCGGTGTAATTTTAGATTTGCCCAAGTCGCCAAACTCCATGAGGAAGGCGCAACGACAATTATGCTTAGATCTCTCCCAGCTTCGACCACTACATCAAGTTTGATGACTATGTTGGGTCTGCCATTCGTTGGTTTCTACGACTTTCTCTATCTGCCACAGTGCTCTCGACAGCCAAATCGCATCGTGGAAATGGCATTTATCAATTTTGTTGATCAAAGCTTCGCGAGATTGGCGGTGCAGCTTTTCCAAGAAGCATCAACCATGATCCAATCTTGGTCGCGGACAAGGGTGAGTCAAGCAAGGGTTCAAGGCAGGCTTGTTTGATGTCCATTCTTGACGAAACATATCAGGAGAAGCACAATTTTATTGAATCACTATGATGAAACCACGGTTTTCCACAACTTTGCCTACTCTGCTGTGCTTTGTTTTGAGGCCTGGCGCCCAACCTGGCATACTTCCTCCTTCGATTTGGCGAAGGAGCCATGCTGGGGCCAGACGCACCCCTGGTCTTTGTGAATGGTGTGCCTGCTTCTTTGCAAGATCAATGCGCTGCTCAAATCAACGAATATGCCATCAGATCTGCATGGTTGGTTATTCAGGAAGAAACCCAACCCAGGCAGAGAGACATGCGTTCTCAGCGACTTCCTGGCGATCGTGCAGGCGTGCGGGATAAGGTGGAACCGAACCTTGCCAAACAAAACATGGACACTTTTGAAAAGTCAATTTCAAACATTTTGTCATTTTTTAATCTGGAGTTTTTAACAAGTAAATCGCTTTGAATACACTACAGTACCCCCTTTCGTTTCTTTTCAAATTTAAAGCACCGCGGGTCGCGGGTGGTGAGGATTTTGGTTGCGCCAAACCTGCGTGAAGATGAACTTCTTGACCTTGCACGGCGCCATGAAGAACGCTTTGGATTCGCTATTTTTAGATTATGATGGACTATGAGTTCAGAATCAATCCAGGCATTGGCATGGACGAAATTGACGGCTTTGACATGGCCAATTTTCATATATATATATATATATATGTATGTATGTATGTATGTATGTATATATGTATATGTGTTTCATCACATTTGCAATGTCCCATGGTGGCAGATCGGTATTTATATAAAGATAATTATTTACCTATATAAATGTGCAATTTAATAATCGCATAATCGCCAGGCCGTATAGCCATAGAAACGTAGAATCATATAATCATAGAAGTATAGAAGCATAGAATCATATAATCATATCACAATTGAAAAAAGTCAAAGAATCATAAAAACACATCGTCGCCAGAATCATAAAATCAAATCATAACACGTCCCTGCAATCTAAAACCACATAATATCACATAATCATGTACGAATATGGATACAGGATAGATTGATAGATAGAATAATAGAGAAGTCGATCGACCGATAGATTTTCATTCATTTGGTTTGGCAATTTGCGAAGGGCCCGGCATGACATCGCAATCCAATGTGTGTACCAGCTTGTTTTTTATCTGCAAGGTCCACTACCCCCTGCCCGGTCATGTTGGCCTGTCAGTTGTGTTGTGTCCGTGGCAAGGATTTCAGGACGTGCAGTCGAGCTGACGATTTCCGTCCCCGAAAGCCTTCAAGAAAATTTTGTGAAGAATTCATGTTCGTTTTTCCTTCTGGCCATATTAGTTGGGAGAGTCGGTGAAAGAGCCGGTGAGAAATCTATGAGCATTCTAAAAAACAAGAATGTCCATGTGAAGTGGCGAGTAATTCCGTTTTTTTTTTGCATAGAAGTGATGCCCTCGAGCCGTTGGCATCGCGTCAGAGACAATGTCATCTTGTGGCACCCCGTCAAAGCCTTGGGCGTGCCTACAATGTCTGACAGTCAAAAAAGAACAGAGATGCCCTTGCAAAAATGGCAAGATGGTGAAGGTATGCATGTTGTCGCCCGTGGATCCCACCTTTGCTTCCCTATATGTATAGATATGATATGCATTGATGCCATCTGTGTCTGGTGCCCGAAAGCTGGGCATACACTCGAGCGTTTCTGATCTTGAGATGCTGCCGGGCTTAGCAGCTTCAACTGTTCAAGCTGTCTACTGTTGACGTTCCTCCAGCATATGTGAACTTCCAAATCATTCCGGAAGAAAGACTTTTTTCTCCGGGCGTCAGTTGTGCTTGGTGATTCTGCTAAAACGGAAGGCATAGGTAAAGCTTGAACAGGGGCTGGTTGTTATAAGAGCCAAGGTGAGATGAGCGTGATTCTGCTCATCTTTTCGCTGTGACGGTCTCGTGTGCAAGTCCGTGCAGCATACAGAAAGCGGTCTTAGCTTACATGTTTGTGACCAAAAGTGGTCCGTCTTTTTCAACCATCAGGTGGAGGAATGCCAGCTACGGAAACAACCAATTAATACCGATTGTTGTTAAAAAACGTAACTGGATGCAACATGTACAAGAACACATCGTCATGCAATCCTACACGCGCAAAGGCACACACACATGCACAGTCACACACAATCATGCGAAATCACAGACATGTGTACAATATATCTAGCTGCACATGTAAATGTATATGTATGTATATGCATATGTATGTGTATGAATTTGCATGTGCAGATGTGAATGCATATGTATATGTAACTGTAAATGTATATGTATGTGTATGTTTATGCATGTGTACATGTGAATCCATATGTAAATGTCTGCGTATGTGTGTGTATATGTACATGTACATGCACATGTATATGTATATGTGAATGGGTGTGTGTATGTATATGTATGTGGATACGTATCTGTAAATGTAAATGTATGTGTATGTGTATGTATATGTGCGTGTAAATGCGAATATAAATGCATATGTATATGTGCATGTTCTCGGTGCACAGGTGGAAATTCATAGCAATTTGGCTCAAGTGATGGAACTTATCTGTAGGAGCCGCCGGTGGTAACCACCTGCTAGCCTCTCAGCAATTCTCCTGTGCTTCGTTTCAGCGGCTTGAGAAAAGCCTGCGACTCAATGTGATTGCGATTGTGATTGCCCCCTTTGCACAAATATCCCATCTTTGGCCATCAAAAGATTCGATTTGTTTAGTCTGTTTGTGGGCTTTCTGGTTGGCTTGTTGATAGGCCCTTAGGCTGGACTTGCTCCGTTGGATTAGGCAGACCCGGTCTGGTTGAGGACCCGGCTTTCCCATTTGGCTGAGGACCGAGCTCAGCCAGTGAAGTGCTTTTGCCATTGACCATTTGGGCCCTTCGAGTTCACGGTCTACACCACACAGCTCCAGCTTGGTTTTCCAGCTTGGACCAGCTTGGACACAAGAAGAAGAGGAGGACGAGGAGGAGGAGGACGACGAGGAGGAGGAGGAGGAACAGAATAAAAAAAACAACAGCCGCCAACAACCGCTAACAACAGGCAAAAACACAATCAAACAACAAGCAAACAACACACAAAAAACAAGCAACAAAAAGAAAAAAGAAAAAAGAAACAAGAAACGACGATGACGACGATGACGACGACGATGACGATGATGACGACGACGACGCCGGCGACGGCGGCGGCGATGGCGGCGGCGACGACGACAGCGACGGCGACGGCGACTGCGACGGGGAGTGCCATTGGTAGGTAACTTTTTTTTTGGTTGGAGCTTGCGGAATCATATTAATTTCACTTGCATCATAGAAAGCCTTGCCAGGTACGTTTTTCGCCTGGGCAGTCAAGTTGCTCTGGCGGTGGTGGTGAAGGGCAGAAGCGGCGGCCTAGCCTCAACACTTTGTTACGTCGGAGCTTGTCGAACTTGCTGCTGAACGGGCTTTAAGGCAACCACGGTTACTTTCGCAAAAAGTCGCGCACCTTGTAGAATGATTGTGTTCGATTTGGAAGCCGGTCTTAAAGGCAATTTTTCTAGTTTGAATGCATGGTTAGGCAAGGTCGTTCGAACGATGTTGTTTCTGTACAGTTTCGGGCCAGACAAAGCGGTCTCATTTGATTCCCAGCATGTAGCTCCTCACGCAGAGACGTAGAACAGGAGTGTGGGCGGAAGGATGCTAGCCCTCTGGGACTCCTTTAAACCGGCTTCAGGTGCGCCGCCATGGATTGCGAGCAGAGCACTTGCTTCCCAGAACGTTGAGGCAAGACCGCTTTTGGCGCAGTTCCACGAGCTCACTTCTTCGTTCTTGGGCGTGGTTGCACTTCATCTGAGTTTTGTCCCAGCAGACGAGGTTTTTTGGATTTGTACCCGGGAAAGCTGGCGTGGCGCGAGCTTTGAGCAAGCACTATCACGCATGGGTGTTGGCAGTGGACTTTTGTCATGGTGAGGGACACAGGCCTTTGAGACCCGCGGCTCCAGGACCAGTTGTTCTGCCTTATCAGAGCTGTGGGGCTTTTTGGGGTATGCGGTATAGGGGTTGCTCCTGAATCCGCACATTTTTCGCGGGCTATGAGCTGCCGGTCAGAAGCCGAGCACGCTCTGAAGGCGCTACAAAGTGGTCCTACCTTTGGAACTAACCAAGCTTGCTGGAGTCCGAGTGGGTGGGCATAGCTGTCAGCAGTTGCGGGGAGGGAGCCTCTTACATCAAGCCAGCCGGACTAAGGTGACGCAAGTTTACCCCAAGAAACTATGTTTTCAATTTGCTAGGCGTTTGAAATTTGAAAGCTTCCCGGTGGAGGCAGCTGGACATCAATGCGTTTGCTCTTTGCCAAAAGGGGTGTGTTGTGCAGGCTTCACATCCGCGGCCAGTTCTCGGGCGTCCTGGAATGTAGCACAGGTGTCTTGGCTGCGGAACTGCATGAGCCTTCAACTTTAGCTTCGCGCGATGGTACGTCAATATAGTTTGCACTGCTTTGATACTGGTGGAGCGCTCTACGAATTGCGACATCTCCTGGTTGCAGCAGGCCGGAAATTTCCTCTTTTGAAGCCTGCTTTGGGGCCGGAAATCCTTTGTAGAACCATGTCTGCCATAGCGGTTTTCAAAGGTGGAATGATGGGCAGCCACGTTGCTGTTAGGCTACGAAGGTATCGCTCGCAATGAAGAAGTTCTCAATGCCTTGCAGCGGGACCTGGTGCTGCCTTCTGACCTTTTTTGTCTGTGACTATGTTGCTGCTTCCCTGAACGTGAATAAACCAAAGAGTACAAGGCGCGGGAAGGGCCGTGTACAGCATTTGAAGATAGAAAGGCCTGAAGTGATGCATTTTTTGGAGGCAATTTTTGTGACTTGGATACTTTTTTCATTCTTTTTCCATTCCCCGCTAGTGTGCTTAGGGTGCGCGGGGATATATTGTTGATTTTTCTTGGAGGCATGCAAGCCCTCCCCGGCTTCTATTGGAGGTGGCGGGGAAAATCAAGCCTATCCAAAAGGTGAGAGTATCCAAAGCATCCTGTGGCGAATGCGCTTTGTGCCTCAGGTGACTCTCGATAGTTATCTTCCGGAACTTGCAGCTGAATCTCTTTTTTTTGCAGCTCGTTGATTCGTCTAAGGAAAGAATTAATTTTCCTTGGCTTCCTTTTTCTGCCGCTTTGAAATCAGACTAACTGCCAAACATGTACTGGTGCACGTACGTACGGTGACGGCCATGCAAAGTTGATATGCAGCTGCCGTTTCAACCTTGCTCTGTCCCTTTTACAGCTCGCAGCTTCGACGTGAGGGGGTCTGGTTGAAAAATGCTTGCTGAAGGTTTCGAATGTTTCGATCCAGACACCAGGGCTGAAAATCTTTAGGGCTTGAGCATGTGCATGTTCACCGATGCACAGGTGGAAACCTCATAGCAATTCGGGCCCAGTGCCCGCTTTCCTTGGATGTGCAGCTGCCATGTCAACCTTGCTCCGTCCCTCAGCTTGGACATGAAGGGGTCAAGTGGTTGAAGTGGCTGCTGGGTTTCGATCCAGACACTCAAGCACGTGCCAAAGAGGAAAATCCTTAGAGCTTGACCCTGTGCATGTATATTATTTATGTGTGTGTGTGTGTGTGTATGCATGTGCATGTGTAAATGTGAGTGTATATGTATATGCGCATGTAAATGCACATGTATTTGTATGTGTATGTATTTGATTGTATATGCATGTGCATGTGTATATGTGTATGTATATGTATAAATGTGCATGTATATGTGTATGTATATGTACTATATGTATGTATATGTGTATGTGTATGTACATGTTTGTGTACATGCGAATGTGAGTGTGAATGTATATGTATATGTTGTAGATTATCTTAATTCAAGAGCTCTGTGGGCAAGGTTTCTGTAGAGTACAGGCGGACATGATCATATACGTATATCCATGTAGACATTTGTGTGCACATTTGCAGCTGCATATGTATTACATATGCATTACATTTTTGTGTTACATATCATGTATTCAAGATTCAAGATATCGTTTTACGCAAATAAGGTCTTACGGACAAAACATTATGTCCGTATCTTATTTACACAAGATCTTACGGACATTTGCGCATATGTGAAAACATTTGTGGGGGCATATGTGACACATATTGTCCATATCTGTTGTATATAAATGCCGAAGCTATATGCATATACGTATATACCCTCTAGGCGCCCTACAGAGTATAGGTCTTGAACCAAGATAAGTTATAGATGTACACGTATATGTAAATGCATATGCATGCGCATATGTATGTATATGCATATGCATATGTATATGCATGTGTGTATGTATGTGTATGCATGAAATATTCCTGATTGTTTTTGGCCCATTCGGGCTAAACCCAGATTATCCGTTGCTCAGCGGTTGTTGCTGGCTCTGTTTGTGGAACTAACGGAGTCACTGCCATGAAGGCAGCGCAAAGCAACGCCAGAAGCCATCGAAGCAATTGGCAGTCCTCAAGCTCCTCACCCTTTCCGAAGTTCACCATTATTTGACAACAGGGGAAGCCCCAAACTTGACAGTTCTGGTAAGGGAAATGAAGTTTGAAAGCAGAAGAAAGATTAGCAATACCATATTTTCAGGTAAACGCGTTTCCCGGTGAACATCGGTAAGCTCCTCCTGCCACCTGATGTGGAGGCACTCGCAGGTTGAGGTGCAAAACCAGAAGATGGATCGCCCGAGAGCGTAGAGGAGCAAATTACTCAGGTGTAAGTAAACATAAACACACAATGTAA